GGGATTAAAGGTGTGTGATTTCTAAACCACCATGCTTGAATGAGTAGTTTGGCACACCCTAATGCCAGTGGTCTGGACAAGATAAAAGAGACGGAAAGACGCAGTGAAGGCCATCTTGTTACCTTTGCTACCTTGTATGCGCCATGTTCTTTCTCCTCTGAGATGTCTGTCATCCCTGCCTTGGAGCCAGCTGATTGTGGACTATAACCTCTACGAATGTAAGCCAAATGAACCCCTTCCCTTCTGTCATTGGGTGTCGGGTATTTTATCTCAGCACTGAGAGAAAAGTAACCATCACAGTTATTAAATCAAGAAGTCTTTTAGTGGATTTTAAGAGTCCCCCAAAGGTCCATTGTTAAAGGCATGGTCCTCAGCTTGATCCTCCTGGGAGGTGGTCAAAGCCTGGAGGCAGGTTGTGGGCATCTAGGCGTGTGCCCTCAAAGGGGATCATGGGACACTAGCCTCTTCTTCCTTCCCCTCTTGCTGTCCCCGCCATAAGGTGACCAACCGCTCTCCACCAAGCACTCCCACGATGATCCACCATGTTGCCGCAGGCACAGAGCGATGGGTTCATGGGCCACAGACTAACACCTCCATGACTGTGACCCGAGATAACCTTTCATCTTCTTAAATTGGCCATGTAGTTCCTCAGGTACCTTGTAACACGGACAGACAGTGCGCTAACAGAGATGCTGAGTACCTTTTCATGGACTTATCGACTATTTATACATCTTCCTATGTCAAGTGTTTATTCAAGCCCCTTATCCTTGTAATTAGATTTTTATATCGTCGTAGCATCCCTACATATATTCTGAATACAAGTACTTTGTTAGATATTTATGTTTGTTGCCTTTTTGTCTCACAGGCTGGTTCTTACTGCTGCTTTTGATGAACGGGAGTTCTCATTCTGATCAAGTTCATTTACTGACTTCTGTGCTGGTTGCTTTCTAGGACCTATAAAACTTTCCTCCACTCTAAGATTACGGAGTAATTGTGCTGTTCTTCTCAAGGTTTTATAGCCTAAGCTTTTACGTTCAGGTTCATAATCCACATCAAGTTAATTTTGGTGTACAGAATAAGATACAGCTCAGCAGTCATCCTTTGCATATGGATGTGCAGTGAGTTTTTCACCTTCTGTTTCCCACCTTGAATTACTTTAGTACCTTTATTGAAAAATCAACGGACTGCACATGTGTGGGTTGTTTCCGGCATCTGTTCTCTTCTGTCCACCCATGAGTGCGTTGTTACACTAACACAACACTGATTTGATGTTTAAAAATTACTGTCTCTTTAATAAGTCGCGAAGTCTCATACAACGTACTCCAAGTTGTTCTCTTCCAAATTGATCGATAACTTTAGACCACTTGCATTTCCACACACATTGACTTGTTCAAGTGTCCTCTTTCTTCTTAGCCTTGAGCCCCTCATTATTTTTAAAGTATTTGTCCATTTCATCTACACTGTTGAATTTATTGGCAAATAATCCAAAACATTGACTTATCGCCCCCGGCTCAAGAGAGACTCCAGGGTTCACACGTGTGAGGACTCGGGGAAGCGGAACAAGCTTCAGAGGAGACCTTGTCCCACAATCTGGGGTCGGCTGGGACCCCAGGAAAGCGTACCTTGGGAACAGGTCTGCCTCAGCCCCAAAACAACAGCTAAGCCTCAAGCCATGCCTTGGCAGAATCAGACTCATCGCCCTCCGAGTCTTCCTGAAGGTATTCACCTCGTGCTCACACAGCTAAATATTCGGCCAGACTCCAGAGGCCCGGGTACAGGAGGCCTAGGCTCCCTGCACTGCCTTCTTCTCTCTACACCGTGCGTGGCAGCTGTGACCCACCTCAGCATCCCGGTTTCCTCCCCTCAGAGATGCACTTTCTCTTAGGGCTCCCTTCCTTGGCCACACTTAGAAAATGCCCTCAGGGAGCAAGCTCTGGACTCACCTATTTCTTCCTGGAGAGATCGAAACCCTAAATACTTACAAACAGCAGCTCCTGCTGTGCTCATGTCTTCCATTGTTTCACAGCATTGAGTTGATACCCATGAGCACCGTGTCATGATTGGAACCCAGGACTAAACTTCTGAGCAAATGCAAACATTACACAAGTGCAACGTAGATAGCTCTTAGTTTTTAGCTAATTAAATTTATCGCCTATTATTGAATCTTTCATACAGGAAGCTCTTTGTAAGGAATAGGTGGGAAGCGAATGCGAATAAAGCACAATGTATTCTCTGGAAGATCTTGAGGAGGGAAATAAAACACAAAGAAGTACAGCAGGCTGTCGTATTCCAGAGGCTGATAAATGCTAGAAGAGGAAAATCAAAGTTCTCTGAGGAGCATGGAGAGTGTTAAATTTTGACATGAGGCTGGCGATAAGTGAGTAGTATTTTAGAGAATTTCTTAAAAATGAAATTTTTCATCCAACTATTGAAGGAAGGTCACCTACATAATCCCTAAAATGTCCTTGTTTTGTAAACTTTGGTACTTCTTCTAAACTGTGTCATTTTCACAGGCAGATAGCATCCTCGGTCTATTTTTCATCAGACTCCAGAGAGTAAAGTTCATTGGCTCTACCTGCACACACATTAAATGACATGTCACAATTACTGAATTATTGTCTCTGGCTGAGAAAACAGTTAGGGAATGAAAAATGTCCTTCAGATGAAAAAGTAAATGAGAATAAGCAGGAGGCAGGTGAGAGCTGAGTGCTTATGACTTGGGTAAGCAAAGGGATAAGGATATTTAGCTGTTTGATGTATTAGGACTCCTTTGTTGAAACACGATCTGTGTACTTGTCTTAGGAAAACTGTACTTTGAGTAGGAGTTCAAATCCTCTCTCATCTGGCTGCTGAAGGAGCAGTTTACTTGGCTCAGCATTAGAAGTTACTCAACTACATTTAGTGTGTGGTTTGAACTGAACAGGCAGCTGGTTTAACGGCCTAAAAACATCTTCATCCCCCCTCATCATCTTCAAAACTCTGAACCTAGTGAGTGTTTAATGATTATTGGATGCTTATTTATTGAAGTAATGATTACCATGTGTTTGCCTTTGAAATTATCCCTGTACCTCGCAAGCTCAAGGACCCAAGTTGGATCCCCAGTACCAAAAAATAAACAAATAAATAAAACTGTCCCTGCATCCTTCTTAATACCCTCAATAAACTCTTTTATGACCCTTAGTCCTCAGATCTGTTGGTCCCAAGCCCCCACTATACTCTTAAAATTATATTGGATCTGTGTCAGTTACTTTCTCTTATTGCTGAGACAAAATACCAGACACCCAAAGCTGGAGGAGGAAAAGGGGTTTATGTCACTTACAACACACAGAGGTTTCAGCCCATAATTGGCAGGCTCCAAGGCAGGAATGGCAAACGGGCCTTGCAGAGGAAAAACAACATGGTGCACACAAGGGAGCGAAGGCAACAAGAGCAACAACTTATTAGCCAGGCGTGGTTGCACACGCCTGTAATCCCAGCACTCTGGGAGGCTGAGGCAGGAGGATCACTGCGCGTTCGAGACGAGCCTGAGCTACATAGTAATTTCCAGTTCAGTCTCAACTACATAGTGAGACCCTGTCTCAAAAACACCAAAAAAACACAGTTTATGGTGGCAGAAGACAGCAAAAAGCAACAAAGGGGGACTTCACCGCGTCTCTCTGCTCCTTTTATCCCACCCAGACTACCAGGATTAGGGCGGTGCCAAACCACTCACTCATTTGTAGTAATTAATAACCACGCACCCTTAATCCCAGCTTCACGCATTCCAGATTCAACCACCTCTGACAGAATGAGGCTTTGGGGGGACATCCAGACCCGACCCATGACAGGACCTCAAAGAATTTTTGTCTGCATAGATTGGATGTGTTGAGATCTGCCAGATGAGAAATTAAATCTGAAAAACTGTTAAAACATTTATTAATTCTTCTAAAATGACAATAGAAATAATAAACCCACTGTATATTAAGATAAATAATGAGTTTGTGTAAAGAAACTACATTTTCCAAGTAAGTATTGATAAAAATCTGAGACTGAAATTGCTTTTAAATTTTTGCAAATATCTTTTTTTTTCCAGCTTTAATTGAGTTTATTGGTACATTTTAGGGATACAGTACAGTTACACTCATTGTTGGGATCTTGTACCTCTACATGACAAGTCTTGATTCTCATTTTTCCCCTTACCCCTGCCCTCCCTTCACCCCCTCCTCCATTATCTTTAACGTCTAGCTATAAAAAGACAGTTCAAAGGGCCGGGGATTTAGCTCAGTGGTTCTGCTGCCTGCTTCACAAGCACAAGGACCGGAGTTCGATCCCTGGTACCAAACAAAAACAGAAATAAAAAGACAGTTCGACCCTCATACCTGTTTCTGCACCCAACGAGTTACAGTAAAACGTGTTACGGGATCCCTGGAACATTTTCCTACACCCTCACAAGACAGGAAGAGGAAGGAAGGCAACTCGTGTCTTTGTTCTACTATGACTCGATGTTGCACCTGACAGACTTTTCGGAAGAGAACACTGAGAACTGACGCTCTAATGCACCTCTCTTGGCCTCATGGTTGGTTCTAGTCTCATCTCTGAGGCGTTTGCTCAGTGAGTGAATGACCCTCTCCAATCATCCCCAACCAGGCCTGCCTTCTCAGCCGTCCATTCCAAGGGTTTTCTGTGATCACACATTTCGGAGGTCACTTCGTAACCAAGCTAGCACACTCCAATGCCTCCCCCTGGCTTCCAGGACCTCCTTCATGGTAGTCTTTCCTCCTACCCAGAAGGTGAGCCTCATTCTTCCATTGAAATATCCTCCTCCCCTCCTTCGTCATACATGAGGCACGAGGTCCTCAAATCTTTCCTCTGGGAATGCTCCCTACCTCAACAACATTCTCCTCTGATGGTGTTTTGGGCATTACAAAATGACACTGTAAAAAAAAAAGCAGTGTGCACTTATATTTTTAAAACTTACTACAGTAAGACATTGCTATTGTCCACTTCAGAAGATCCCCTGGGCTCCGAGCACACTGTTCCCGCCATTCTCTGAATCAGTTCTGGAAGTGCTCCGTCGGAGTGTCTTTAGGAAGCGCAGGAAAAAAGTATGGTGAATGCAGTTGCTGGGGGCCGTGCAGCTGAAAGATGGGGGGGTGGGATTTAGCTCCGTGGTTCCACCGCCTGCCTTGCAAACACAAGGACCCGAGTTCGATTCCCCGGTACCGAAAAAAAAAAACAAAAAACAACATCGTAGGGTCCTCATCCCCCTTGTTCATGGCATCCACACCATGCAACCTCTGGATCCTCCCAAAATCAAGGGAAAGTTCTTAATTAATTCAGGACGTTGAACCCCTGTGGCAGGGGAACGAAAGACACTGCCGAAAGAGCACTGCCGGAACTGTTTCATTCAGTGGCAAAGAGGACTAGATAAGTGTGTTCAAAGTGAGAGGCAGTGTTCTGAGGGATGACACTGTGTCCTTCACTGCAATAGTCTTCTCTCCTGGGACACCCACCCCTATATGCTGTGAATTGCTGAGGAGACCCTGTCTGGTTTGTAATGAAAGCACCCTTTTATCAGGAGCAAAGCCCCCACTCTGTACCCCCACTCTACTGTATACTCTCGATGGGTCAAAAAGCAAACACATTTAAGAAAGTTCTAAGAAATGGGGAAAAGGCAACCAAAAGCCCTCGATGATTATTGAAATACTTCTGTAGTTACATGCTTTCAGTTTTAATTTTTAAAATATTTATTATGGAAAATATTAAGTATATACAAAAATAGACAGTCACGTCATTCAACTGATGTAACTAACACCATATTTTAACAATGGTAAATTAATACATATGTAGTGTTGGTTTATTGAAATTTTTCACTTTACCCAGATTCCTGGGAAGCAAATTCTGGACAGCACATCACTTCATCTGTAAATATTTCACTATGTTCCTCTAAACAGTGCTATTCTTTGAAATGATTACCATCTCTAAACAAAATCCCACACTGATTCTTCATAAAACTTCCAGTCAAAATTCATACTTCTCCTATTTTCTCATACTACTTTTATAATTTCTTAGTTTGACTTCAGATCCAAATATAGTCTAGATATTATGATTGCTTTATATATGACTCTTAAGATTTCTTAATTCAACTTCCCTTTCTTCTCTCTCTTTTTTGTTTTCCCTGATATTTTTACTTTGACTTGAATAAACATTTTCCATAATTCACATTTTGTTGACTTTATCCCTGTGGTGTCATTGATATTTTCCTCTTCTCCTTGCATTTCCTAGAAATTGTTCATGAACTTTGGAAGACTTTATCACTCATTTGTTCTAAAACTAGTACTTAGATGGTATATATACCATCTAGAAGTTCATAAGGATTTATTGTTTTTAAGATATGAATAGTGATATATATATAAAAGCCTTTCCATTTTACCGAATGTTGAATTTCAATGTGACATTAGTATACATGCATTGAATAACATATTTTGATTTTAGCCTTTGTCCCATTACCTTCCCTTTGTTTATTCCATAGTTATTTATAATAGGGAAAACTCAGAAAGAACAAAAATGTTCCAACTAGCAAAGAAAGAAACAAATTTTGCCATGTTCATGATTAAATGATAAGATGTCTTATAAAAATTTTGAAATAAACACAAAAGAATTTTCATGATACACCAAAAAAATGCTGTTCACAGAAGCATGTGCTAGAGACACAATCCTGGTTGTTTAAAATGTGTTATTTCTGGGTTAATTTTTGCATGTGTGCACTCATACCTGTGCCCAGGGGCCCAGGGTAGGCACATCAATTGTGGATATTACAGATTGTACAAACATGATGTGTACTAAATTTGTGACTTAAATGGCAAGAAGAAGATGTCATGATTGACTTCCATGTGTTTGTAACAAATGGTGAGGATTAGCGTCACTTCTAAAGATGCAGACCGTGAAGGCAAGCAGAGTAGTGTACATCCCTTGGGCTGAGGCTCTGGTGAGACATCCGGGTGGAAGGAATAAGGACTGAAGCCATGTGGGTGTGGTGGCCAAACGCCAGGTACAGATATTAATCTTGAAAGTGTCCATCTTTTTTGATTACCCTTGTAATTGAAATCATGAGTGTATTAGTTCATAGAAGCTTTCTAAACTGGAAATCTAAAAGCTAGAGATTTTCTGTCCAAGGATTGAGCTCCCTGGCACATATCTCCAAACAGGTACCTTTCCCTCTCTGAGAGTGCACACCCTGACCTTACCCATGTGTAGTACAGACACTCAGCTCTTGGCTCTTCAAGGGTTTATAGGAGATGGTGATTAATCATTTCAGCAATAATTTCAATCAAAATGTATATAATGGGTCCCAGACAGATTATGAAGAAAATTTAGGAATTAATGAAATGCATGTAGACTAGTCTCACTCTCAAACAGATAAGTTGTGTTAAGTAATTTTGTCATAAGAAATAACAGCCCATCTAACTGTGCTTTATACTTCAAAGTGCTTAATGTCCAGACAAAATTATAATAGTTAAGCTACTAATGTCACTGATCTTATCTTCTGGGTGTTCAACAACTAAAGTTTGGAGACCAAAACTAGAAAGGTAACTGGGCTAGGAGGACAGCCAATATTTTGCCTCTGGCCCCTCAAGGTCTATAAGATCCAGGACACAGAGGAACCTTTCCTCCAGGATCCTACATCTTTGGTAAGTCACTCACCCTCCCGAGCAGGGAGATTGCTGGGCACCAGAGGGTAAATATACTGTGTGCCAAAGGAGGGCCACAATGAGGGAAAAGTCTCCCACAATTTCGCTGAAAGCAACATGGTCAAGCAAGGCTGTGACCCATCCTGACGGCTGACACTGACAGAGGAGCTGAAAGGCTCTGTGCATGGTTCCAAAATAATACATGAAGAGACTTCACTGACCTTGATAGATAACAAGAGGTTTATGTTGATTGACACAGGTCTCACTTTAACTTGGTCTTAAACACCCAGCAGAAAAGAACAACCAAAGAGCTATAAAATAATGCCATAGTAATAAAGCTAGACATAAAAATGGGCTCCAGTCACTGACCCCTTCTGGCAGTTTCCAGCTCTACCAGTTGCTGACCATGGTTATGGATCATTAGGAAAAAACTATGGTAAAATCTTTAAAAGCTCAGCTAGAATTTTATATTTATTAGTGAAATTCACTCTTCAAATTGTCTCATCTTAGAGCTAAAACTAGAGAGACGTGTAACAAAGTATGAGACTTATAGATTACCTCTATCAATGAAAGGATCTAAAACCAGCAGTTTCAATCACTATTTCAATTTCTAATTGTGACTTTCTCCCCAACCTGCCCTTTCATTCTAGTGTGCTCATGTGAAGGTTATGCATGCTCTAATTTCTTAAAAGTTCGGTTTATTCTTGCCTAGAGGCTGCCGAACTCCAAGCGGTCATACAAATGGAACCAATGACAAATGTGCTAGACTTCTTTTACTGGGATCCACCAGGCCATCCTTGTAAACAGCTCAGAACTGCTAAACTATATGACTTCTATGTTGGGTTCTGAAGTTCTCCCGGACCTTCTCCTTATCCTCTTTGTGGGCTGTATTCATAGCAATCCTGCTGACCTTATAATTTGGCCCATGCATTCTTAACTGTTTCTTTGGGTTTGTCTCCTCCAGATTTAAAAGCTATGTAGCTACCAAGATGACAATGCCAGGTACCAATGGAAGGCCTTTAGATGGACCCTCTGCAGAGTAACTCTAACTGCTGATCACAACTACAACCCTTTTCAGCTGGAAGTAGCCAGAACTGTCTTCATCCTTTGTCCCCTCACAGCAGTTAGGGGTCCTTCTCCAGAGGGGGGTATATTGCAGACAGGTAAGTTAGTTAGATATCTTGTAGGCAGTTAGATAGGGCTAATCTCGAGGAGCCAACACAGCAAGGTTAGCCAACATGGAGGACAATCAAGACATGTTCACTGCAGCCAGAATTCTAAAAGTAGAGAAACTACTATACCCTTGTGCTTCCCCTGGGGATAAAGAGTGTAATTGATATTCTAAACAGGTATCAATCACCTAGGTGGGGGGCCAAGGTCTTAGCCCAGTCTTTTCAGGAAATATCCCTGACCCTCGCCCTTACTGAAAATCCTTGTATGCTTGCTACCTGACTTGTTCCCCCATTTGACCCCCAGTTAATCAATCTTACCTGGGTGACTGTACTTGTCATCTTATTGGTTGGTCATGGTTTTGCCCCACCTCATGACCACCTGGTAGTTTTCCATTGGGTCTTACAATTTTGTGCTACTTTGTACCCACTTCCCCACATGGCTTTGCTGTATAAATCATCTTGGAGAAGTGGGGTGAGCGGACAATCCACTTTCCAGACTCCCATCTGTCTCTCTTAGACAGAAGCTTTCTTTCCCTCAATAAATTTTTCCTACTCTTAAAAAAAGTAATTTTGCCATAATCAGTAATATACCTATATGCTTATATCCAAATGCTTCTTTAAATGCTTCTACTATATAATTTCTTTATCGCAATATTTTTAAAAGAATCAAGATATTCAAAACAACCAACTTTTTCTTCTTCAGTAGTGTTTGCTTGCTTCTCAAGAAGTTGTGAAATATCAGGGTTGGAAGCCCCCGCAAGAGTACTTTAATGAGACACTTTGTACTGGTTGACTCCCCATGATGATGCCTCAGAGAAGTGGTTATCCAACTCATCCCAGGGAAGGCCACATCTATCTTTCTTCAGCTTCTAACTGTTTGTCAGAATTCTGACGTAGAGCAATGTGCTCCTCTCCTGGTTGTTCTCCCTGCCCCTAGCAGTCTCCCTCTTTGGTTATTCTTAGATGAATTTAAGCTTTGTTAAAAATTAGGAAAGCCAAGCACTTGTTAACATATTGCCTACCTTGAGACATAAAACAGTTAACTTCCAACTCACCAATATCAAATCTGAAATGAATATATTTTTGTTTTGATTGATTATCCCAGCTTTCGTCTCTTTTCTATGAGACAAATGAGCAACTATCTAAGTAAGAGTTCTGCTGCTTCCACACTTGCCTGGGGGATTTGTACCATTAGGCTGGGGTCGGGGAATACTACATTCCCCTATGAGCACATCATAAAATGTAATTTGTGGGTATTGTATGTTCTGAGTTAAA